AGTCTAGTCCTGTTGATTAGGTGGGCTTTCTTCGGGACTCTATTCTCGGGACTCCAGGAGCTCTCGCTACCGCCTGGCTTAACTTTGCAAGCACTGCATCAACGATGGGAGAAATTATCCAATATGCTGGTGCAGTACTTCACCTACCTGCTAGAGGCCGCTTTTGATTAATGCACTTCGCATTTCTTACCTAAAACGTTTTAGTCCCATGTTCAGTGTACATTGGCTGGTCTTTCATTGGGGCTCCTTCGACTCCTTTGTGATCATGGTATCTAGTTGTGCACGGCAAACAGTGACGAAAGGGTTTGGAGGATCCAAGTGTCCAAAAAAATTACAGCTTATCCAATACTAGTATGCTGGTGCATGCAGTTCTTCATTAAGCTGCTAGAGGCCGCTTTTGATCCATGCACTTCACATTCGTAACTTCAAAGCCGTATATAATTAGTAACTTCGCAGCCTGTCATCCTGTCCAATAAGCAGTCATATCAACCTAAGCGTGAACATATGTAAATTAAGAAAAACGCATATGTACGAGAGTCGCTACAATATACGAAAACCCTTTTTGTAGTTTAGGCCACACCAAGTAAATTTTATGGATGACGTCCGCGCGCGCATTGATTTTGGCCTGTTCCTACAAAAAAAAAAAAGAAATTCCGCTTCCTGTAACAATGACCAACTAGTCACGACAGTGCCGCAAATCACCAGATTGATGTGAAACCCGTAACGCGAAGAAAGTGTCTATTGACAGGACCATCCTGTCAATCACAGAAAATTTGCATTATTGACAGGAAATTTTTTCACTGTCCACTGTTCCACCTGATTTATTGCTGTTTTGATGATGAATAAAAGACTTCTAGCTTGTTACACTGTGTCACCTCATTCAATTTGTGTCCTAACATTTGTCATCTCTTAGTATATTTCTAATCTAGGCATCTTGTTTTTTAGGGCCCTTCTTGTTTTTTTCGCCCTCTCGCATTAGATTTAGGGTCTCCAAAGGACGTCATCCATAAAATTTACTTGGTGTGGCCTTATTAAATAACGGCAGCTACCAATAAGCCTAACACTGCATAAAATCAAATATAACTCCTGCGTAAAGGTCCTGTCTCTTTTCTCGTCTTATATGCTTAGGTCACATTTCGAAACCGGGCCAGGTCAGACTGTTTGCGCGAACGAAAAAAAATAATAAATCATAAGAATGATGTAAACAAATTACAGTATTTCTTTGTAACATTTGTGTGTTTGCTCCGTCTGGGAATTCATAAGTTGGGAAAATATCACAAGTGGTCAATAATAGATTTCATACATCTTAGCAACAAAGATAAGTTCATATTTCTAATGGCTTTAGACAAACCTTCGATTATAAAACACATCTGTACTTATATCTACATCGTTACTAAGAAGCGAGAAGAAGCCAAATTATCGTCATTATTAGACTATATGTCCATAGTACGTAGAATTAGCACTAGCTTGTACATTGTATATATTCATTGCAAACTGTGACGTGTTTTCTGTGACCTGTACTGAACCCAGTGGGTATTTGCGTACAATAAAGGTCTTCATTCATTCATTCATTCATTCATTCATTCATTCATTCATTCATTCATTCATTCATTCATTCATTCATTCATTCATTCATTCATTCATTCATTCATTCATTCATTCATTCATTCATTCATTCATTCATTCATTCAATAAAGACAGATCGCCAATGGCGACACCACGACTGTTATCACAGACGGGGGCATGGAAAAAAATCCATCCCGTTTATTCGACAGTCCGATCGCGTCACAGTACATGGCAGCTTCCCGTAGACAGGGAAGGTATTTTTTCATTCCAACAATTTAGCGTCACATTCAAATGGTTTAGGCAGGCGCACTGAATATTCACCGAGTTTCATTCACACAAGAAGCCATGGATCTTTTGTCCATACTTGAATAGATGTACTGCTATTAGTATATTCAAATTGAGCTGTAACTATGCATTGACTAGCTAGACCCCCCTCAACCTTACAAACCACCCTATCTATCTCCCACTAGCATAAAATCTGTAGCGAGACCGTTCACCTGTCAGGTTTATAGATATATATATATACACAATAGCATCCGGCAAAGAGAACAGATTGCACAAAGAAGGAAAAGGAAAGGTATAAATGTAACTTCCGATGACGCTATATTATGCATTAGCGCTCAGTGTATACATGTAGTATTGTACTAACCATTACGGGATTATAATGATGTACATGTACGTAATGACCATTAGCATAACGTAATTGTCATTAGCATATACCAGCATGTGATCCTGTAATGTACACAGAATAATCATTGGCAGACAGCTAATGTCATTAACATATACAAAATGCTCATTAGCATACACGGAGTGCTCATTAGCATACATGTTCTTCTATCAATGGCGGATCTTATAAAGAATCAGTCTGTGAGACTTCCTGATCATAGTGCGTTTTCCGTCGCCGAAATGTATCCAGTTTAGTATGGATGTACATGTGCTGTGAAGAAATGCGACAGGCAACAACTGCTCCAGTATGACAAAGGTTATAAGTACCTTCTTTGGCAACTTTCTTTGCATAAAACGTGGCACTAATATTACATTACAAATCCCTAGTGTGCCTATCTACTACTACTACTACTACACTGATTGCGTTATTATTATTGTTGTTTTTTTTTATAAAACATCAGTCTAAAAGAGCAGGATAGCAATCTGGAATAAATAACAAGTTCCCCTGTATCTTAATTAGTTTACATCTTCGCCCACATAACAAAGTCAAATATAGTAAAAAGAAACCTAATTTTCAGCTCACCATGTTACATCCAACAAGTGCTGTACAAAACATTCAGTTATAATTTTAAAGGGGTTAGTTTTATAACTAGAACGTGATACATTATCAACAGTTAGGCAAAAACACGGGATGTTGTTTTCTGCTGGTATACTTGTAGGCTACACCAATCATTCACAAATTTTTGACAACTTAAGTCAAAGTCAGAAGAATCATTTATAATCAGTAGAAATGGTTTTTGATAAAATTTTCATTTAAAAAAAAAACTACATGAACGACAGATAGGTAGTCAGCTTGGTGATGCATTGATGAAATTGAATCAGATATGGTTTGTGTATTGTGTTTGTGTATCTGCTTGTATAGTTTTCAAACCAACATCTTTGGCCCTAGAATCCGGCTGTTGACAGTTGGTAGCCGAAACCTTTGCTATCACTGCATTCACGAGTTGCACATTCCCAGGATCCTTTGCGCACAGGGTAGGGTAAACCACGTGACTCATCCTCGGCTCTGGTCGGAAGAAGGTATCTGGCCGATAGTAGGCTGGGAGCATTCAATTTCAAAAGTCTGTCTTTTTGTCACATTTTCACGTAGTATGTTGAATCAACCCTATCCTATCCCATACCGATAGTCATGGAGCAAAATTCGATGCCGCTTTGCCGTACGAACGCCGTACGAACGCCGTGAAAACTACGTGCCTCCCGCCGCCGGCAGTGGTGTCAGCCATTTTTTAAATTTCCGAGCGCTCGCGAACACTTCCGACTTCTTCCGACCAGAGCCGAGGATGAGTCACGTGGTTTACCCTACCCTGTGCGCAAAGGATCCTGGGAATGTGCAACTCGTGAATGGCCATGTGGCAGACCACAATAGAAAATCTCCAAATCCAACATTGCCCTGTCTTTAGTTAATCGTTATGAATATGAACGGACAGCTAGTTGTGATTAGTTATGAATAAACGTATAAGAATCGTGTCGTTCAAGTGTCAATCATCCCATGGGGGGCGTGGTTTACAGAACAGTGAGGCGTTGATTTAGTCTAGGTTAGCAGGCTTTATGAGTTGGGCTTTTCTGAGGACTTAAAATACTTTTTTTTCCGATGGGATATCAGAAATCAGTTCTAGGTACTGATTGCCATGTGTTAGCCTCCAACAGGCCTTCCCAAAGGGCGGTTAGGGCGGTAGAATTTGGCAAAAAAAGAGTAGCCGGGCCAGGAGAGTGGGTCTACCGATAGGGTTTTAGTTCCCCCCTCGGGCAAATGAGCTCTACGGTCGGACATATCATAAACTCCTCCTGGCCAGTTATTCTCCCTACTTGACTGGATTTTACTGGTTTTGAACCCTTGTTGTTACTCTGATGGACAGTGGTCTAGTGTGTTTGCCGTCTCCTCCATCTACGAAGGCCGGGCACACACACAAAACAAAACAAGTATACAGAAACTGATATTCCACAAAAAATCACATTATAACCCCTCATCAAAACGTCCAACCCGTACAGCCTACTAAAAGATGGTGCTAGCTCTGGTTAATCCCCCCGCCCCTCCCTCCCATGGTTGACGGCGGTAAAATGGGGGCCTGCATGCCCTTTTTCGTAAGGCGTAATCAGACCTTTTTAGTCTTCGTAATCCGTAGGTAGCCTCCCCAAAAATCAACGTAATTCGTAATAGAATATTAGCTGCAAAACGTTAAGTCGTAATCAGCTCTGAGACTTTGACGTAATTCGTAATTGGCGGCGAAAAGTTTGCGTAATTCGTAATCACTACCCCCCCATGCAGGCCCTCTAAAATGAGGAACTCAGCAAAGGCCGGTACCTTCCAGTTTACGTTATCGATCCATGGGTCAAATCCAATTACAGAGAGGTTCAGCCGGGGCCAACTCAATTTCATAATGCGCCGCGTTAAGTCCGCAGCGAAAGCCGATATCCCTCATAATTCCCCCTGCACTATTCATTGCCATTTACACCGCGTAGATATGAGAAACCCAGGCGCTGCTATGCACACAAATCCAAACCAGAAGCCTGCACAGCGTCTTCCAACTACTCTTCCTTCTTACATATAAGTTATTAGACATAAAATGCTACATTTCAAGTTACTGTTGATTAGTTAAACATCCTGTTAAAGAATCCTTGGCCAGACCAGCTCCCAAATGAACATATCATATTTTTTATAAAACAAAAGATTACATTTACATCGATGTCTAATGATTTTTTTTCGTCTGTTTTTTTTTCTTTCTTCAATATCATCACACAAGCAACATACATTGTGGCTTTCAACGACATACTTGTGGCTTTCACACACATGGCTGAGTTGGGCTATACGGTAGAAAACGTGGTATGTTGGGTTAGGTTGGGTTTAGGTTGGGTTAAGGTTGGGTTTAGGTTGGGTTAAGGTTGGGTTGGGTTGAATCTGGACGATGATACTTTATACAGCAGCGTCAACATGATTGGCGTCGAAATCTTCATCGTGATCTGGGATCGCATTCATACTGCAAGGACAGAGGGAAAGAAAGAACAAATGAATATTAGATGAATAGAACTTACATTACTATACACGCTTCCGGTTCGGATAGGAAGAACTTTATTGCACGACAATTGCACATGGTACAATGTATGGCAAACTACATAAAGAAAGTAGCAAACAATAAAATAAATGTGTTGAATAAGACCTAATGTCAAATAAAACCTAACATATCTTAATTATTCAAACAGTAAGGGCTAGCACAAGTCTTTGATAAAGTGTTACAATCGAGGGGGCTAATCACAAGTTTCGGTATTTTTTTCTAATAACAAAGCAGTCCTTTATATAATATCTACCTATTTTTGGGTTGTGGGGACCATTACATGTAAAGATATATTGAATTTCAAATCTGTCTCCAACATCGAGACTCTTGAAATCTGTTGTACTTGAAATTCGAGAAATGTGAATAGCTTGTTACGTAAAACATCATATTTGGTACATTCCATAACAAAGTGAAATTCATTTTCTATATGCTTTGGACAAAATGGATAGGTAAGGGCCCCCAGCTAAATTTTCCTTGAGTAACCAAAATAACCTTCTCTTTATCATAATCTAAATATAATGCACCATTATTTTAAGCATGATCAAGGAGATAACAAAACACATAAAACGTTCTTTTATGGTATGACATTCGTCCAGCGATCTGTCACATTTTTAGTCGCTCGTTGTTCGCAGCCTCAAGTGAAAACGGAGTGTTAAATTATTGCCTGTCGAAACAGTTTTTGTTCCAGCGATTTCTATTTTGATTGCCAGTCATCGTTTTCTGGATAACAAATTTGAGGCCCACTGAATTTGGTGCTATGATGGAATTCGAAGCTGAGCATAGTACGATGTATCCCCATCGGGCCACGTACAGCAAATGCAGGGCTTGAAATACTGGGTGCATGTGCACCTTAGTGCACCCAAAATTGGAGCTGTGCATCCAATATTTTTCTGTGGGTGCACTGGTGCACCCAAATATATTTTTTGTTGGTATTTTTGTACATGTTAAATGTATGATAGTATACAGGATATTCTTGGCATCAAAGTGTCAGAAAAATAATTAAAGCTTTGCTGTAGCACTTGTTTAAGATTTAAGTTAGCTCCCATTTCAGATTCAAGCTCAGAAGTGGAGCAGTAAGATCTGTAATTAAGTTTTGTTTTATATGATGCACCCAAAAATTTTTCTGTGCACCTAATTGTTTTTAGGTTGGGTGCACCAGTGCACCTATTCCCAAAAATGAATTTCGAGCCCTGAAATAGATTTTATGGATGGCATTCTTTGCAGATTCCACATTTAATGGGATAGGGCGAAAAATAACCATGAAGGCAAAAAAAAACAAGATTTTTTAATTTTGAGATAATAAACCAGAACAAGAATTGCGGCAACAAAACATAATATCACAGCCAACATGTCTTTTATTCCTGTATCTTACAGTGTTATCTGTTCTTGTAGATGAGTATACGTCTCGATTATCTAGAACAATTGTAGAAAACATCTTGTCGTACCATCATGGGCAGCTATACTACACGGGGTTATTATATGCGATAGAACACCTTATAGTTAGACCGTCAACACCTGAGATCAATATACCTCTAGTTGACTGGATCTCTGGTGGTCTCTGAACCGACATGTACGACATATTTACCCATATTAACCAGGGCATGTTGACTACTGCCGCAAAGCAACAAATTTTCTTCTTTTTTTTCGAAATCAGGCAAAAATTGATGCGTGCTCTGATATAATCCATGAAAATTCTTAGCTGTGGTCTTACCGATATATAGAGGGTTGCATTACTCTCCGAACAGGGGTTTAAGCTTTGGATTATTTTTGGCGTGTTTTAGGCGTTTTCAAGTTATTGGAATCTCTTTATTGTACTGGTATTTTATTTTTTCGCCAGCCTATGTCTGGCAAGTGGATACCGCATGGCTATTAGTAATTATATTTACCGAAGGAAAATATATTGTTTTTGCTCCATTTCTTCTTCTTCTGATCCAAACACTAACCTCTGACCTGGCCAATGGCCTCTTTTGTTGACGTCTGTCACCATAGTAACTGGTATTGGGTTACATGATGTTGCAATTTCATAGTAGGCATTTAGACTCCTGTCACCATATACATGTTTGTAAAATGTGTTTGAGTAAGAATTAACAGAGCAGACCATATCCGAAGGTAAACATTATGCATTTGCTTTGCAAATGTTACTTTTCTAGTTTGATACTGTCTTTGCAGCCACCGAAATATCTGCTTGGAGATTAGCCTGCATACGGGGGTGCGGACACAGCCATGACTCTGTGCGCCGGCACTGATTGCGACAAATTTGTGGAACTGGGGTGATGTCACCTCGCATTACCGGCGTTGAAATATTAATAACGCGGGAAGGAGAGTGAGTTTATTGCGTTCCGGAGTCAGGAGATGGATAATATTGAACTACAAGTAGAGGGTGCAGAAGGGCGTGGTGCCGGGAGATAGGAGTCAAGGTAGCAGAACACAGTTTTCGCCCTATGGGGATTTCTATAGTTAAGGACCCCAAGATGACTCACTTCGACGCGGTAAAATTATAGCAGGGTGCACTTCACAAATACGAAAATTGACTATGTTTGAGAAGAAGGTACAAACTACAAAATATCTAGAAACCAAAAAATCCTGTCGGCGTATCTGCTCGTAACGTACACTTTGAAATCGCCCTCTACGGACGTGACCTGAACTGCAGCCGACTCACCCGGCCGGAAAGCCAGTTGCGCAATGCGGCCCATTTATACACGAACTGCAAAACCTTCACAATTCAAATCATACAGTCTCAAACCCGATACATTCCTACACCACACAGCACAATTTACATATGGCTGACGCTCTTATCAGGCTTTCTACCCAGCCTTCAAGAATATTCGCTGCACTACTTTCCAGGTCACGAGAGTTTGTTTTGGTTTAAGGGAGACACATTTTGCCATAAAAAAATTAAGAAATTTTGGACTAAATGGAAAATTTACTGTCTTGCCATGGTGTACGTGTCCATGGTGTTAAACTCAAGTAGGTGATTTTTGACAGCTTACTTGTCACATCTACTTCTCTTACCATCTACTCAATGGGAGCACAATGGTGGCACCACAAATTAAGTGCGCCTCGTGTGGATTTTTTTAGTGCCAACCATAAATGCCAGAAATTATATAATTGCACAAATATGTTAAAAAGTAAAAGTTTATCACAATAACACGAAGATATTTTTCATTTACAATATTTCAATTTTGAAAAAAATTAAAGTAATGCCCCTTTAATGACGATAAGAAAACGTCACATGTTTTAGCACGATGCTGAACTTAATTGCAACACAAAGATCAAATTTTCAACGACCACTGTCACCTTCTTAATGATAAGTAACGGTCAATCCATTCCGAACGTGAATCTGCGAGAGGTACGGACACGTGACCTTATTCACACGAGACTTTAAGTATACGTTACGTCACCAGTTGGCCAAACATGACAGGCAGTTTATATCGTCCACCGTCTCTGTTTAATGATTAGTCGTTACTTATCCTCATGAAGGCGACATCGGTCGTCCAAAATTTGATCTCTATGTACCTTTGTAGCTGTAGTATAGTTTAGCAGATGACACAGATGAAGTTCCATGATAACACATGTTGCAGTACGTACCTTTGCTTCTGCTGATCCTTCTGCACATTCCCATTACTTTTACTGCCACCTGTATCAAACAACCAACCGTCAAGTCAATCTCACAGCCTGGCTGCGGTAGTCAATCGAGGATGCCTTTTTTTTCATTTGGAGGAATATGGACTTCTAGGTAAAAATCAGCCAACATCTTTATTAGGCCACACCAACTTAAACTTTTTCTCGGATTTGCCACTTTTTTCTGATTTGTAAGAAGAATGTATTTAGATTCGAAATCAACTCCAAATGTAAAATGCTCATATTTTGACCATAACAGTTGAGGAAAGTCCTTGTCTTACTAGTTGTTACTGTCTTACCGTGTAACAACACACTGATTTGATTGAAGGTTCAAAATTTATTGTTATTGTTTGAATTATAAACCATTCCGGTATATGTGGATCCTATTGTAGCTTTTGGGGCTATTATAGGGATGCCTAGACCTGTTTTTTTTCGCCCTGTCGCTTCATATTTTTTTCTGAAAAAGCTCCAAGAACCCTCAAATCAAACTGGTGTGGTCTGTTGTTTTGGCTGGATTTGGCACAATTACGTCAAAACCGACCGGCACATCCTCTATAAAACATCTTTACACACAGGAAAAATCGTATAGCTTCCTCTCTTATATAGTCTATGAATAGAAACAAAGCCCAAAGAAGCACACCAATATATTTTTACAAAGCACAATTCGTAGCCCCTGGGGCGGATGTGGAACAACGCACCTCACAGATATTGGACTTCGATACGGACATGAGTTGACCTCAAGGATGACCTCTACTTTATCTCAGCTCAGAAAGTTTTGACTATCGCCAATGAGACTGACTTAAAAGAATCTGAGCGACAATTCCCCCTTATCTATTGGATTTTTGGTGAGTTTTCACTTTCAAATGTCGGTGAAGTCTAATTGGAGCCGACGGCTTGCCAAGATGGACTCTGATATGGTGTGTTGCAATAGTCCTATTGTGTTTCTAGCTCCTAAAGACATCCGATGCAATTTCAGGGTGGCGAAACAAAAGCATTCTGGAGAGGAAATCTGTCTGATATCGACTTTTACTGCCATTTCTTAGCATATTTTCATCATCCTTTTATACTTCAAGCGTTCGAAATAAGCTACGTGAGCAGTCTCTTAATTTTGGAGTACCATTCATAAATAGCTAGAACGATACAAAACAAACAGCCGTTTTCTGTCAGCAACATTACATTTTGCCACACGGATTGATATTAAAAGAATGACAAGAAAATTGACCTTGAAAAGCCAGTTTTACCGCCCTGAAATCGCTTTGAGTGCCTTTAAGGTTACTAAATAACCCATCCTGAGGACTTTTGGGGTGTCCCCTAAAATTACATGTTGCAGTTAAGTACGGGCTTTGAATTTTCGTCACAAAGTGTTTTGTTGCAAGATGATAATTTATGCAAATTTTTATGACGTCACAATGGCGTCATCAATAGTAAGGAGGTCACGCCCATTTTAAGAAAAAAAGCATCTTCAAGCTAGTGCTTGAGTAAAAACTCGCAATATTTTTTAAAAATGCTACATTGCTTTAGGTATAGCGTTGTTCCATGTCCGCCCAACGAGAATACACCACAAGTTTGGCGAAATCATGAGGGGGTGTGAAGCTACAACACTAATGAAATGATCCTACTGTCGTTCACGGTCAGAATGACACCCCCGTTCTTGAACGTTACTTTTCCCGCATCATTTGGGAATCGGAATGAGTTGTTTGATGTCAATACTTGAGAAGTTCTTTTTTTTCTTGTAATTATAACTTTTTGTTGAACTTTTAGAATATTGAACGTACATAGACCGTAAGCGGGTTTAGGGCTCAAACTGCGCGTGCGCGATGTGATGCATTGTGGGTAATATGTTTAAGTGGATGGCCCCTAAAAGAATATATTTCAAACACGTCTAGACAATGCACAAGAAAACGGTTACTCAAGCAACTGGATAGATTTTAAAAACTGTCACTGACTATCGTTGAAGAGGTTCATCAGTCACGTAGAATTATCAGTTAGTAGAATATTCCTCAATCAGTGACTCTTACCCCTACTCCGCCAGGAGGTGGGGGAGGTCAGAAGATCCACACAAGTCTCGACCTAGTCTCGTGTTCTCGCGAGACTAGGTCACTCCGTGAGCAAGATGTACAGTAGACATCGAAAATTTGGAGGTACGTGTTTCTACCTGTCAAAAAGAGTCACTGATTGAGGAATATTCTACTAACTGTCACTGACTAGTTTTTCAAATTTTAATTTTCAAAACTAGTCAGTGACAGTTTTAAAAATCTTATAATATCCAGTTGCTCAAATAACAGTTCTCTTGTGTATCTCATTACCTGAGTGTCTGGACATAGACAGGAAGTATTTACAACTTGACATTCACCTTTGACCTTCAAGTGACCTTCACCTTTGACCTCGCGCATGCGCAGTTGGAACCCTGGCCCTGCTTATTGATTGAGATCGGAATCAAGAATAACGTTCGGAGAACGGTTGTGTGATGCTCACAAGGATCCCAAGGACTACAACACATCTACAAAATGTCAATCAATCAATAGACTATTAAAAAAAGGCAACTAAAGTATATATATATATAATGGCATGTCACGACCGAAGAGAGCACGTTGAAATGAATGGTTGTGGTTGCTGACATGAAGTGCGCATGAGTTGAGAGAGGGTATATATGAAGGGGCAGGCACACACGTTGAGAGCACCTCACTGGCACAATGCGAGAGATAGAGAGAAAGAGAGAGTACGCGTGAAAGAGAAGACAGGAGTGTTAGCAAAGACAGAAGAAATAGCAGTGCAGAAGCCACGTCCTTTTCTTTCTGTGAGGTGAGTATCGATACCTGAGAGCCCTTTGAGGAAGCCCTTCTTCTTTGCAAACCAGACTCCAGCACCCAAGCCCACCGCAATCAAAATCAAGACTAACAGCACGATCACAATGGCTACTGAGCTGGGGGGCCCTGTGGACAGGAGATAACCGAAAGAAGTACATGCAAAATGTATGCGGCAGATGTGTCGTGTGGTCATATGGGTATAGAGAGAGCATATAGAGTGTATATAATATATATACATAGATGTGGATATCATACCCAAGCAAGTTTCCTGCATTATTCCAGCCAGCGGCGGCCAGCACTACCAACATTAACTGCAGGACCAAGGGGGGGAGAGGGATGGAGACCCCTGTGTGGGAAAACAAGCGTGAAACACACGGCGTGATGGGGTCAGATCGCTGCGCCTGTTTGCTTCCACCTCTCACCATCCTAAGGAGCAGACATCACCATTGCGTTTCGCAGTGAAGGTAGTAGTCCCTTAGTATTTTTTTTCAAATCTTTTGTTTTTCTCTTGCCAATTTTCGTCCAGGTTGGAGACTTTTGGGCTAGAAGGAACAGATAGGGTCTAAAATTTACCACTTAGGTTAGGTTTTATTCATTTCACCAGTTTAGTGGGCGTAATGACACATTTGAGTGGTTAGGTCTCGGTCTCCCATCCGGCCAGAGCGGAAAATGAGGCCAAAAGTAGGGTTTGTTTTAATACTGTTGTATGAGTTTGCGCTGGTCAACTCTGTTTTTTTCTAGCCTTGTGACTTTTTGCAGACGATTTTTTTTACATCTAAATGTGGAAAATACTTTAAATCTATAATTTTAAAAACATTTTGTTTCAGTGTCTTTAAATATAGCCTTCAATGACCAAACTAGATGGTGATATCTGCCCTGAAACTTTGCACATACCTTTTCTCAGCTGGCTGAGTGCAAAATAAAACAATACCAAAACCAGACATGCACAAAAACAGGTGTGGATTACGTCACATTCTGAATATGTTCTTCAGTGCACGGTGATTCCATATAAACCACAGAAAAATAACGTCATGCAATTCTAAGTATATATCAAGGCATATCATACAATATCGTCATTCAAACAAGCAGAAACTATACGTAAATCACCATATGTCAACGTGAATTATATCCGATTCGATGGATTCATATTTGTATATACTTTTAGTAAGAGATAAACGTGCAAAACTAAACCTTTGTAGCTTGATAGCATGTCATAACTAGACAGCCTATGAAACAATATGTAACATTCCTAGTTACTTATTCATGCTAATACTATTAAAGTAGTGAAAACTAGAAAGTGCTTATGAGAGCTTGAATTAGAATAGCAAAATAACTATTAATTTTGCTCAACTAAAGAGTCCAGCCAGTCAACTCACTTTCGAGTAATATTCTTCCGCGTGTAGTTTTTTCCTACCCTTTTCACTAAAGGCTGTAACCGCGGAGCAGTCAAATATTTGACGGGTCACTCAACAAATTTCATAGATAAAAACGAATATATCTTACGTTTTGTGTTTTATGTTGTCTTTGAAATCATATTTGTGCATCATGTTCTAATCAGGAAATCATGCGTAAATCCGATGTGTGTGTGACCACTGATTTTATCATATGAATTCAAAGACAACACAATACGATAGAATATGTACGAACATTTCCAAAAATTTGGTCGCGGTCTAGTAGAAAAGACGCCTTGCGTTTTGTGTTCGTTTCACTCGGCTAACATTCGATACCCCCAATCCAATTTGTGTGACCTCTGATTTTGTAATATGAATTCAAAGACAACACAATACGATAGAAAATATGTACGAACATTTCCAAAAATTTGGTCGCGGTCTAGTAGTAGAAAAGACGCCTTGCGTTTTGTGTTCGTTTCACTCGGCTAGCTAATATTCGATACCCCCAATGGACATAAAACCGACTCATTTGATTAGGCTTGGAGATTTCCATTCACTGCGCAGCGGAGTGTATCACTGATTTGAACAACCAGGGGACGAACTCTATCATTATAAGCAGAAACCATGATTGCCTTCTGTGTTTATTCAGCACGCCCCAATCTAATATTTGCACAAGAACTAAATTATCGTCCTCGGTCTCAATAAAACCACAATTTTGCGAGTATTCGCTATAGTCTTCCTATACAACTTAGACGACCTAACGTACAGGTACCATAAATGTTACTGCTACATTTTATTGCACCCTTTCGATTTCATGAGCGAGTAAACATCATGTTTAAGTATTAATTGGCTTGGGTGGAAGTCGTCAAATTTACAGTACTAATATCGGTGTACCTTTTATGCACAGTTCATAACGGCTAATATGAACATGTAGAAAAAATAAATCTAAACGTTACAGCAGATTTTAGAGATCATTGCTCTTTCAAAAATGATTCTTCATATGCATGCTATTAGGAATTCTGAGTCGTAAAATTCTATCTCATATTTCCTCGCCTTTTTATTTACCTTTTGATAAAAGTTAGAATTGGTCGATTTTCATAATACACGCAGAAAGAAATGCAGTCCGTTGACTGCCCGCATGGGGGCAACCTCTTTAATTGTTACAAGGTCTTACCTGCGTTTCTCTCCAGTCCGTCGCCTATAACTTCTGCAAAAGATAATAACGGAATATAACGAGTTAGTGGTTTTTGTGTACATTAACATAACGACTATATGAAACACCAGCACTGTCTTCCACCCAGTTATGACTACCATAATTAAAAGAATAGGATAATTAAATATGGTGATCAAAGAAAGAGAAGAACAAATCGGGGTTTCTGTTTTCAAACGTTTCTATCAGGCCACAGCATGTAAACTTTATGGATGACATCCTCCGCAGACTCCAAATTTAATGCGAGCGGGCGAAAAAAAAACAAGACGGGCCGAAAAAAAAAGGTTCCTACATTTTAAAATTTTGACTCAATCAATGTTCAAATGGTTTTGATTCAGTGGGAACATCACATACACGTACACACAGCCAGCATCTCATATCACTGCATCAAAACATTCTTGTCTCCTCTCTTGATGTTATCTGCCATCCACCTTCCGGCATGGCAACAGACATCTTTGCCCATTTTCGGCATGTTGACCACTGTCAGAAGGCAACAAAATTTCTTGTTTTTTTTTTCCCAAAGTCAGGCAAAAATTAATCCACGCGCTGATGTCATCCATAAAAATTACTTGCTGTGGCCTTATGGTAAATTGCATACTTTTTTCTGAAAATGCACAAAAGTATGACGACGATGTTTCCCTTTAATTCTCCACCAATGGGCGTCCAAGATGTGTACTTGCCTTTTCGGTTCGTTGTTAAATAAACGTCAGTAGGGGTAGGCTCTGGAATCTCATTCAGCTCTTCAATAGTGTATAAAGAAGGACACGTTAATTTTCATGATTTTTTTTCTCTTTTGGTTGCTGTTGTTAAATTGGCGGGATGGGGGAGGAAGGGGCAAAAAGCCTGAGCACCCACAAGCCCAACTTTCCACATGCAGATTTGTATAAGAGCACCGCAATTTATACCGATTAATATTTGCTTAATATTTGGGGATAGGAAACCTTGATTCGAGGAAAACCCGTTGCAACGTTACGCTAAGGTCACAATTTCAAACCGGGGCCCGGCCGGGCAGGTTACGGGAACAAACAGTACAGCATAAATTACAACAAAAACACAAAAAAAGGTTTAAACAGCTAATCATGAACACCATCTGTATATTTTTTCTGATATGAATTGTTTATTTTTGCGTTCACGCAACCAGCCCGGCCGGGTCCCGGCTTGGAAATGGGACGTTAGAATTACTTAAAGCTTCAAGCAGCTATCAGCAATTATTGCAAGAAGGCCTATGTTTTCAGCCCATTGCATACGGCTTCAAACGATCCGCTATCGGCAGTTTGGTTGGCGGGTGAACATTGGCTCTTCCGCAGCCTCAACCACGCACCTAAACCCTGGAAGCCACCATGCCAGCGTCCCCACTTTCATGCCAAGTTTGCCGCTTGTATTTATCAAACAACCCTGGCTTAAGCCGACCCACACATTCACGAATTTGGCCTTGGCTAATGTCTTCTCTTTGCAGCCGCTTCTGAAGCCTGTTAGAGGATCCTTCTCCCTGCGCAAGCCCTGGCCAGTCGCCAGCCAATCAGATACACCCGCTATTGTTGGATGAGAAGTTACCAGCCAATCACGCTCCGTCTTGACCGTATAGAGCGACGTGATAAGTTGGTGACGGCTGGCCAGCGCTAACGCAGCGAGGAGGACCAATCACAGCCGAGTAAGCCCTTGTTTACAAGCGGCGGACCTGGCATGAAATAATTTAATTAATGCCATCCTCTAATGACTTGCCCACCATCTGCGCACTACCTGGTACTCACCGTGTTCCAAAACGGAAATGGCTTGAGAACTCGTGCCCATGTTGTTCTCCGCTATGCAGTTGTACACCTTCAAGTGACCGGAGTTCACGTTGTTGATCGTCAAAGTGCTTTTTCTTTTGCCGTCTGCAACAGAAACAACATCACTACAGTTAGACATCGATATCTTTAGTTGTTACATGTAGCAAAAAAAATTTAGGAAATTTTTCTGGGACCTTTGACCTAACTTAGACGTATACGTTTCACGGACGTGCCAAGCATGTGGAAATAAATACACTAGAGAAGTAACATTTGCGCAAATGCATAATGTTTACCTTCGGACATGGTCTGCTCTGTTAATTCTTACTCAAACACATTCACATACATGTACATGTACTACTAGTATATGGTGACAGGAGCAGAGCAGACCATGAAATTGCAACATTATGTAACCCAACACCAGTCATTATGGTGACAGACGTTAACAAATCATTTCATTGGTCAGGTCAGAGGTCACTGTTCGGAGAAGAAGAAGAGGAAGAAACTGAGTAAAAACAATATGTTTTCCTTCGGTAAACATAATAAACTTCAGAATTCGACAGATAATAATAAACAATACACAATAGAAAGACAAATAAACATGCAGAAACATCGAAAACAAAGCCTCCGTATGAAAAAAACACACTACCGCATCTATCTGAATAGCCCCTACCAGTACCCCCATGTATCCCCCGATTCAGCCCCCTAAACCTTCCCTGAGCGCTGCTAATTGTGAATCACGGACAGGCTAAATGAGTCTGGTGTGTCCGACATGAGTCCCTGGCCTCCTCACCCGCCCTAGTTCACCACGGCCTCGGGAACTAAGGCCACAGCAAGTAAATTATTTGGATAACATCATCCACAGACTCCAAATCTAATGCGAGCGGGCGAAAAAAAAACAAGGTGGGCCGAAAAAAACAAGGTTCCTACTGTTTTAAAATTTAGACTCGATCACTGTACAAATGGTTTTGATTCAGTGGGAACATCACATAAACACAGCCAGCATCACATATCACTGCATCAAAGTAAGTAAGAAAACATTAAATCAGAGCCTTGTCTTGTCTCCTCTCTTCATATTTATCTGCCATCCACCTTCCGGCATGGCAACAGACATCTTTGCCCATTTTCGCCATGTTGACCACTGTCAGAAGGCAACAAAATTTCTTGTTTTTTCTTCCAAAATCAGGCGAAAATTAATGCGCGTGCTGATGCCATCCATGAAAATTACTTGCTGTGGGCCTAACGGCCACATTTCCTTACTAATTGGGGAGATCTGTTGCTCAAATGAGATCCACGCAAAGTAGACTTAACGTTTACAGTAAACATGGGAGTAATTTACTATAAAGCACTGTGATTGTTCCAACCGAGTTGTCTTCGTAATGGATCGTAAATTCTCTAACTCCGAATGATCAGAGTGCGAAGTTTGAAACAACGTTCTGACAGCGCGGTAGGACAATTTTGGCGTACGATCTGAGGTATTCCAACGGTAGTTTGTAATGATTCTATATGGCTTTTTATGGTTGATGTGTTATAGCCTCTACCACACACCGCGGATCGCTGGAAAAATAGTAGAAATTGGCCGAAATAAAGGAATGGTATACCAGGGAAGATCCCGGGCCATAGAAGATCCAATTCGCGACCCACGACCTATGGCCCTGGATCTTCTCTGGTATACTATCCCCTTATTTCTGCCAATCTCTACTATTTTTCCAGCGATCCGCGGTGCCTGGTAGAGGCTAGATGTGTTACGCCGAAGGGTGGTTATACCGACTATACAATACATACAGAGCAGACAGATGAATACGCGTTCCTCTTTGCCGGCGTAGTTCTGCCTTTGCCCAAACAACCGCATAGATCGGCCACTAGGTCACATAGCACGAGTTATTGACTGTTATGGTCTGTTCCAGAAACATAAGCGTAAATTTCACATATGGACAAAACTTGAAAGTAGCTTTTTTTAAATAAATTGGGCCATTAGGGTAGCCATCGTGATTAGAACCTGTAGAGCGGGTATACGGGTAGGAAGAGGGGTATTACGTCCATGAAAAATGAAGGTATTGTTTTTGGTGTGTGTGTGTGTGTGTGTGTGTGTGTGTGTGTGTGTGTGTGTGTGTGTGTGTGTGTGTGTGTGTGTGTGTGTGTGTGTGTCTCTGAGTGTGTGTGTGTGTGTGTGTGTGTGTGTGTGTGTGTGTGTGTGTGTGTGTGTGTGTGTGTGTGTGTGTGTGTGTGTGTCTGTGTGTGTGTGTGTGTGTGTGTGTGTGTGTGTCTGCGTGTGTGTGCGTGTGCGTGCGTGTGTGTGTGTATGTCTGTGTGTGTGTTTGTGTGTGTGTGTGTGCGCGCGCGTGTGTGTGCGTGTGCGTGCGTGTGTGTATGTCTGTGTGTGTGCGTGCGTGCGCGTGTGTATGTCTGTGTGTGTGCGTGTGTGTGTGTGTGTGTGTGTGTCTGTGTGTGTGTGTGTTTGTGTGTGTGAATGTCTGTGTCTGTCTGTGTCTGTCTGTGTGTGTCTGTGTGTGTCTGTGTGTGTCTGTGTTTCTGTGTCTTCGTGTCTGTCTGTCTGTGTCAGTATGTGTGTGTCTGCGTCTGTGTAGTCTGTGTATCCGTATGGCCCTTAGGTCAGGTTGTAATGGATATGGTTGGGTTCAGTCTAATCAGTCGTTAATATAATCACGTCTACATCTGGTAGCGCTCGCCGTTTTGACGATGTGGTCTCTGTATGTGACCTCTAGAATCTTCCGTCGCAGCAAATTCATTTTTAAAATGCAGGGACATGCGGCAGCGTGTGCGCCTTGAAGCCATCGAAGCACCAGACACCTAGACCATTCTATCACTCTCATTCTGCATTTGACAGGTTCCATTTCAAGCCCCATTTACACATTTGCTCTGGTGGCCCTTTTGTAGCCTCCTCATGTATTGATGGTTGATGAGGAAGAGAAATAAAGTAGGAATGCGACACATCCATTTCTACAATGCAGGAACACGCGTCGGTGTCAGTGCGCCTGAAACTGTCGGCCACCTATTTCAAGCTTCGTGGATACGCCACTAGCCTGGGTGCCAGACTGTTGGCAGGGTCGCTAGACAGGCTAGCTCCTCGGATCCAGGACCAACACCAAGGAATTTTTTTACCACAGACTCCTTCAGTTCGCGATAGATAGATTGGACCCCGGCACGTGCAAACTCTGCGTTCGGCAGCCAGGCGTTCCCCCGGCCGACGAGAGTATCTTGTCGCACTGGGGTCTGGCATCCAGGCTAACAACGTACTTAGTATTATTACGTCTGCTGTGTTTCCTTTTTTAGCTTCTGGTCACGTCAACAGACGGATGTACACAGCTGGCTGGCACGATCGGTCATGCACAAGGAATCTTCCAATAGAGGCACATAAAGAGGGGGCAGAGACGCTGATGATGACGATTAAGCCGCTGGCAACAGGTCTACTCCAGCGAGCTCAAATCGCCGTACTTGATTCGAAAAGCCATCATTGTAACGTCAAGCTGCTTCAAGATTGATGCACCAGACAGGCAGGACCTGGAGCCATCTCATACCGTCTCGTGAGGTCCGTGGATATCTGCAGGGTTGATTTAGTGTTATTACGATAATTGCCAGTTAAGAGCCGTTACCCTTGTCTGCCGGTTTGATAGCAAACAGTACCTGTCTGGCATCTGTGAATCATATAGTATTTAAAACGAACGGTAGTCATAATCTAGCTAGTATGATACTTGAAATTACCTGGTGAAATTACCAGGTTGAACAAATGACTAAATACACAGACTATGGTACGCGTGGTAAATAGTAGATTTTTCATTTCTTCACATTATTTTTCTTTTTCTTTGGAATAGATTTGGGCATTTTACGATATTTAGTATCTTTTTTTTCAGTATTTTTTTTTTAACTTACAGCATATATATATATTTGCTGATTTTACTTTGCAGCTGCTTTGTATACGATGATTTACAGTATGGTCGAAAATATTTTTCTGGACGAAAATTCATGCCAGCGTGGATGTCATCCATATAATCAAATCAACATGGCCTAGTGGTGGCACATCAAATGACAATCAAGTAAACCTGTCGTCTAGGTATACCAGAAACCATTTTCTAACTTTGCGGGATCAACTTTTGCCAATCTTTCCACCGCCGCCGTGTTTTGTCACGGAAGACTTGTCGTGTAAATAGATGACTGGTTATTTTCCCACAATAGACTCATCGGGCAGGAGGAAATGTGTCTTCTTCTGTGGTAAGTGAACTACTGCCGGCTTCCTAACACACCTGCCAGCATACATAAAAGAGATTGGATGAAAGGCCCATTCATTCTGGCTACAGGGATGAACTATTGCATTTACCTAGCGCGTGTGAGTGATTTCCCAAAGGAACGGGCTATACGTTGGAACCTCTCTGCTGCAATGCGTGGTTCAGAATTACAACGGACCCGACCGCAAAATTTGTAGCTAAAGCACTTCGCAGCTGCGAGTTATTCTCTAATACTTTCCAAGTTCAGTTAACTGATCGTAGCGCCGTATGTATGTATGTATGGCGGCATCCATTTTCAAATTGAGGAAGCACAACATGTATAAAGAGTTGACCCCAGGCCAAACCCCGGCCAAACGGTGCCGTTTTTCAAAACAAACCGCAACAAGAATTCGTAGATTTCATACCTCCATGAAATATGAGTTTTTGTAAATGACATGTCCTCATTAAATATGCAAATGACCTCTACATTAACATAATATATGCATAGTGGTCTTAACCTTTAAGTAACTTACACATGTCACAAGGTATCAAACTTACACCACTTATTCCTGACAAGATAAGCTATATGTCACCAAAACATCAAGACCATAACATGTTCAGGGAAAAAGATACGAAAACCGGAAGCTCTGCTGCAGTACCAAGGTCATCAACCAGGAGGCCCTGATTTGGCCTTGACCTTCGGCTTCCTAAGACTTTCCAGAATACCAAATATCATCGCAATCCATAAAGGCGCTATGAAGTTATGCTGACTACAAATGTGCGGAAACACACACAAACATACACACACACAGACGCGCCAAAAACAATACCTCCATTTTTCATGGAGGTAAAAACGACTGACCAAAAAAAACACAATCACCAAGTGGTCGAGTTACATACAATGAGTCTTGCAGCTCCTATCTCTTAAAGGAATCGACTGCAATTTCTGGGTGGCAAAACTGAATTTTCAAAGTGAATTTTCTGGTTATTCTTTTGTAGTAAGTTAAATCAATCCTATCCCATAGCTATGTCGCTGATAGAAAACAGTTACTTGTTTTGTGCTGTAGGCTGGTTCTGGCGCTATTTATGGGTGGTACCCAAAAATAAAGAGGAGCCTCGCGTTTTTTTACCTCCATGATTTATTTTAAAAAATGCTCCAAGTATCAAATGAGTTAAGCAATGGCAGCAAATTTCAATATTAGACAGATTTTCTCATCCAGAATATTTTTTTCCTGCCCAGAAATTGTACTGGATGGCTTTAATGTATCATCCCGCGAGTTTCCATCAAACCCTTGCCAGACGAGATGACTGGCGTCATTAATTTTCTCCGTGAAGTGAGATGACTATCTGTTCTAGGAGGGGCGGCGCGGTATTAAGCTCCGGGATTCGGAGAAACAATATTTCGTGGCGTGGCGATGACCCATCAAATGTGACAGTCGACAGGATTACTATAATAGAAGCTCGGGTGATCAGAGATCCGCGACCATCAATACCCATTCCGGAGTGACAGCGGCGATTCCTCAACTTTCTCAAACGTGACCGAGAGACGGTTTCTTTTTTAGGCCACACCACGTAAATTTTATGGATGACGTCCACGCGTGCATTGATTTTGGCCTGTTCCTAGAAAAAAAACAAGAAATTCCGCTTCCTGTAACTATGACCAAAGAGTCACGACAGTGCCGCAAATAGGTTTGTACGGACCAAAGCTTATAAAGCATCAAGCAAGACTTCCATTAGGAATTCAGTTTGGTACATGCTGACACATTTGAAAAAAAATTGCTGACCGCTCCATCTATCTCCCCAAAGCACAGGACGACAACTGCTGTTCCACCTGATTTATTGCTGTTTTGATGATGAATAAAAGACTTCTTGCTTGTTACACTGTGTCACCTCATTCAATTTGTGTCCTAACATTTGTCGTCTCTTAGTATATTTCTAATCTAGGCATCTTGTTTTTAGGGCCCTTCTTGTTTTTTTTTCGCCCTCTCGCATTAGATTTAGAGTCTCCAAAGGACGCCATCCATAAAACTTACTTGCTGTGGCCTTATGAACGCCCCCGCAGCTGAAGAAGCTATATCGATCCACACACAAGATGCAGAACTTTCCCCACGAGCCTCACGAGTGAGCTGAACGAGGCAAATTATTTATGACACTGTTTTAAAAACTCTGCGCTGCTTCGCGCCGTACTTCGATGGTATCATTGTTTCATTGTCCCCACTTGGCCGTTTATGACCGTTTGAGTTATAACGTGTAATAAAGCATGTATGAGAAGGGGTGCACCATATGTATGATCCCGTACATGAAGGGTAATAATCTGCCGCTAGGAACTACCGGTTAGTGTTTCAACTAAATGTGTTTGATTTTCCTGGCTAATTTTGGGTTGTTCCTTGGGGCAGAATGTACGTTTGTGGCCAGATTTCCCGAATTGTTCCTACAGATTTGAAAAGCTTTTAGGGATCTTTTTAAAGCTAGGGGGCACCTGGATAATCCAATGTCCTTGCTAATTTGGCCGCCAAAATAGTATTGTGGTATTGTGTTTTCTTTCAATCATCGCAATTGAATATAATGTTTTCATATGATTACCTAGATCTGTCTTCTGAGTTGTATTGTCTGACATTCCGTTTAGCAAATGAGTAATTTCCTTTTCTGGCAAAAACTATTAAGGCCTTATGTCCTTTAGACATTTGTAACTATGTTTAGTGCATTGTATGTTGTGTATGTGTATATTTTGTATATATTTTGTCTCTTGGTCATCAATAAAGTTTTGAAATTGAAAAAAAAAAGAAAAAAACTTTAAGGCCCTGTCACAAGCCTACGATACAAAACAAGCAGCCATTTTTCGTTAGTAACATCGTGTTTTTTTCTTTACAGATATCAGTATGCTATGGGATAGGATTGATTCAACTTACTGCATCAAAAGAATGTACAGAAAATTGACTTTGAAAATCCAGTTTTGCCACCTTTAAAGGCATCAAGTGCAGTTTTTAGGGCTTGGAAACCCAATTTCTCAATATTCTAGTCATTTATCTACATACTGAGTTTAAACCATACTATACCAATGTATATTGACCCTCATGAAGCAAAAAATCCCAAAACTCTGACGAAAAATGGTTACTGGAAGGGCCCTGGCTGATTTTTATGGTACCTCCCATAAAATAAAGGACTCATCTTGGAGCTTGTTTCTGCATTTTTAAATACTCAAAGTATGAAGTACTGATTGAAATGTGCTAATGTGAAATAGTATCAATATCATTAGGACTGCCTTATTCAGAGTATTTCCAGTTTTGCTGCTCTGAAATCGCGTTGGATGCCTTAAAATTGCATCCGATGCCTTCGATACTGTGTTCTGCGGCCACAACAGGGTCGTAAAAAAACCCGCCATCATCACGGATCGATTCTTGTTGATGAATCGGCTACATACATCATCGCCTGCGTGCCCTGACCTTTGACCAACAGGTCCCCGGATGTTAAAAACATCGTCACAAAAACGCATCGTAAAAAAAACACATCTTTAAATACCAGATGGAGCTATATCATGAACTTCCTAACAATATATATTCCACGTTCCAAATCTGATGGATCTGAACTAACCAGGAGAGTCTCTACACGTTCAAGGAGAATGTTTTTATGACATTTCTACTAAGCCGACGTTTCTAGGTTTTACTGTATCAGTTTGATGCTTGTCTCAGTGATCCGTGCAAGAGTTATTGATCCGTGCACGGCCTATGCATAGTGATTGGAGTCCTGCCACGCTGTGTCATTAACATGTGGACGTGCTAGGTCAACTGGAGGCAACGGCGATTTGTGCAAATGTCCGGGTCATGGTATGGTTCAATCCCGTACACTATAGCCTGGTGTCCGGTCTACCGTGGCTGGGACGGGTTCTTTACGGGGCTGCGGGAGCTCTTCGCCGCCCGAGTTAACCAGGCTCCCCGGTAGGTTCTTGCACGACGGGAGTTCAATGCCTTATCAACTCCTGTCGTACAAAACTCTATTAGCAAAGCTCCTACAGGCGTAACACACCCCTACCGAGCGGCCTGTTGAGCTGAGTGGGATAAAGTTTTTAGAGCCCCGAAGAGAGCCCGCCCCAACCACGATAGACCGGACACCAGGCTAATACACCCGTGGACTCAGGCCAGACGTTGTCAAGGTCAAGTTTAAGGTTAGCAGGATGACGGCAGACTAAGTATGATCAGGCCATAAGGTGGTAAAAGTGAGCCTTGGTTCAAACCTGATTCTTTTGAATCAGAAATTTCTTTCGTAATGAATATTCTGTATCATTGAGTTGAATATTACCAATTACTAGTAATTGAAGATGCAGTTTAAAGATTGATATCGTCCAATGTCGTGAAATAGTGATATTTTTTTCTTAATGTGAATGTTTTTGTTTGTTTGTTTGTTTGCTTGTTTGTTTGTTTTTCAAAAAAGACCAGGACAATGAACTCGCGTCTATTATTATGAAAGAAAACTGTTACTCGATCGGTTCAACTGAATTTTCGTCCGTTTCCAGAAAAAAAGGAGATCGTACAAAGCAGCTGCAAAATGAGGGGGAAAAATGCCGTAAATTGCAAAAAAAAATATTGAAAATCGATACTACTGTTTTAGAACACTAAAATCGATTCAATAGTTGAATATGAACATATCAAGAAATAAAAATGCAGTACCAGACTGGCGTTGTATGTTTAGTCATTTGTTCAACCTTTATAACCACGTGGATTTCATAACGAATGCAAATTTTTTTTGCCAAACTTTTTTTATTCACACGCTCGCGTCAGTTTTGGGGTTGCCAGAGGATGTCATCTATAAAATCACATAAACATGGTCTACACGGAAGTTTGACTCAAGCTTGGGCCATGTTGATTTGATTATATGGATGACATCTTCTGGGAACCCCAGAACTGATGGCGCGTGCGAATAAAAAAAAGTTCTGAAAAAAAAGTTGATTTCATAATGAAATCTACGTTGTCATGATGGTTAAACAAATGACACAGAGTATGGTATGGCGAATAATCTTTCAAATTCATTTCTTTCCTTTTTTTTAATTTTCGTTTTTTTTTCTTTAATATTTTGTTTGATTTTGGCATTCTATGACATTGGACTCGTTTTCAAATAGTTTATTTTTATATATTTCCTCATTTTGCAACTGTTTTGTACAATTTGCAGTATGGTTGAAAACTTAATTTTGGAAACGGCCGAAAATTCATGCGAGCGCGGATGTCATCCATATAATCAAATCAACAAGGCCTTACCTGAACAAGACTATTTCTTGAGAGGGGTGAGGGAAGTCATTTACATCAGGGTCCATCACCCTTCATTGAACCGCGACGGGGGCCGACATCTTCTACTAGATACCTTTGACCCAGTGTTGACGTCACACTTCAAAGAATTAAGCCACGTGACAAGCTTCACTGGGTCAGTCTACTGAGGAGGACCAGAGTGACTGGTCGAAAGCTCTAGGTGAGAGAATTTTTTGTGTTAGAACAAAAGTTTTAACTTTAAACAAGGCCATACCTGCTATGTCCTCCTCCGCCACGCTGTAGCCTCCGTTACCGCTGGATACCGTCTGGTTCTGTCCGTTATCGTCCGTGTAAGTCCAGTAGATGTTCTGTGCGGACGGGTCGGACAGGATGGTACACTCTATGGTGGCCGTGTCGCCCATGATGGCGGCCAGGCTGTCCTGCGGCTTCACCTGCACAGAGGGCGCTCCTAGGGGGAGGGGGGCAGACAAACGGTCAAGTTATTTTTTTATTTTATTTCAGTTTGCACATAAAAATAAAAACGGTATGACTATGTACATCCAAATGTGCGGGAGAACCCAAGAAACCTAAGGGTTTATCGAGTGGGTTCTCAAATCCAATTGTTTTTTATGACTTCTTTACACTCAGATACAAACGTTACACTCAAATACAAACGTTAACTGTAACATTTTGACAACTACCCAAGCTTACGTTATTGATACTAAACGGTTTGTACTAGATTAACTCCTACATAGCCTACAAAACATTTTCTTCCTGACTAATCATTTACCCGTTTCCACCCATTTGCTGTTCTCTGTTGTTTCTTGTCATGTACTTTGTTATTGTATTCTTGTATGTTTGGTGGTGAGCTTAAAATTAGATAAAGCTAAAGTATCTCACCACCATGTTTTGTATTGTCGAATTGTAAATTTAAACTAGAAAAGTAACATTTACAAAGCAAATGCATAATGTTTACCTTCGGATATGGTCTGCTCTGTTAATTCTTACTCAAACACATTTACCAACATGTATGTGGTGACAGGGAGTCTAAATGCCTACTATGAAATTGCAACATTATGTAACCCAATACCAGTTACTATGGTGACAGACGTCAACAAAAGAGGCCATTGGCCAGGTCAGAGGTTAGTGTTTGGAACAGAAGAGGAAATGGAGCAAAACAATATGTTTTCCTTCGGTAAACATAAAAAAAGCCCTTCTGAATCTTACGCTAGCCTGCTCTTTCACCGTGAGGCTCAGACTATAGCCTTTTCCCGTGAACTCCAGTCTTAATTATCTCCGGTCCCCGGTCGCGTGTTTTATTGAACAACCGAGATCGATTCGGTGAGATCATGAGTTACTCCGAGGTTTGCAACTTTGCGGTTCGTCAGGTTCGAATTCGGCAGGAAAAACTCCTCATGCTCTCTTGAAATGAAAACGTAATACTCGTAGTTCGTCTTCGACCATGCTTCGGTAAAGGTACGAGTATCCAATTTCAGGGCGGATGTTCAATTTTCTGACAATTCTTTTAATGTAATAATTTATATTATAATGTAGTAATTTATACTATAATGTAGTAATTTATACTATAGTGTAGTAAGTTATAATATAATGTAGTAAGTTATACTATAGTGTAGTAAGTTATACTATTTTGTGTAGTAGTACGTTATACTATAGTGTAGTAAATTATACTATAGTGTAGTAATTTATACTATAATGTAGTAATTTATACTATAATGTTGTATTTTATACTATAGTGTAGTAAGTTATACTATAGTGTAGTAAGTTATAGTATTTTGTGTAGAAGTACGTTATACTATAAAGTATTAAGTTATACTATGATGATACTATCTCATAGTATACTGATATCTGTGAGGCAAAATACTCAAGGAAAATGGTTGCTTGTTTTGTTCAGACTGGCTCTAACTATTTATGGTCGGTACCATTATTCTCTCCATATTACCTCTCCTAATAATTCGTATTTACAAAAGTAATTCTACAATAAATTAAAAAAACGTTGTCTATTATTGTATATCAAATTTGTATATCAAATTTTCAACATTTTACTATGATTACTACCAACACAGATGAACGTTTACTGTGATTACTACCAACACAGATGAACTCTCATGATACTTTGCTTTATATTAATGATATTTTATGTGTTCCCTAAAACTACGTAATTCAGCTTTTTGTACAATATTTTGTATTATTAGGCTGCAATGTTGTTTTAGTTTTATGTCAATTTGCAAATAAACCATTCATATGATAACTGTTGTCTACTGAATTGAAACAGGTAGAATGCATGAAATTTCCCGTGAAACGCCCGGGTGGATTGGCGGGGCGTATGGCGGTGGTTACATCGGCAGAACCCCGGGATTAGCCCGCTGCATGAACGGTCTGTTGCCGGGTTCCCTCTCGGCGGGAATTAATCAAGACTAATTCGTCGGAATAATTCATCGTAGCGTCCGGGGCGCCGGGAGGCAGCATGCCGCCGAGGGGCCCCGTAGCGGGGTCTGATTCCTCCGGCTTACTTAAACATGTTACATGTTAGGCCACAGCAGGTAATTTTTATGAATGACATCAGCGTGCGCATTAATTTTCGCCTGATTTAAAAAAAAAAAACAAGAACTTTTGTTGCCCTCTGACAGTGGTCAACATGCCGAAAATGGGCAAAGATATCTGTTGCCATGCCGGAACGTGAAGCAGATAACTATGAAGACAGGAGACAAGAAAAGACTCAATGTTTTGTTTCTTACTTTGATGCAGTGATATGTGATGCTGGCTGTGTATATGTGATGCTCTCACTGAATCAAAACCATTTGTATAATTATTGAGTCAAAATTTGAGAATGTAGGAACCTTGTTTTTTCGTCCCGCCTTGTTTTTTTTTCGCCCGCTCGCATTAGATTTGGAGTCTGCGGAGGATGTCATCCATAAAATTAACTTGCTGTGGCCTTACCAATCAAGTCATGAACCGCGATGAAGGGGGTATAAACTTAGTCATGTTTGGGATCACATTCTTAATAACTGACATTTGTTTTATTATTGTTTGTAACTTTTATGATTTCTAACAATACGTATGTGAGAATACTTTAACAATAATTTCTATTTGGGACTGCGATAGCTCAGTATTGTTAGTTAACAAAATTTATATTATGTATAGAAACACTTTACATTTGGAACCGCATATGTCCCTATGATGTAACAATGCCTATGTATGTCACAATTGCACTGCGTTCGGAAATGCATTGTTAACAGTAAAAACTAGCAACAGTGCACTGTGAACCGTGTGTGCACTATGCACCAAGTAACATCTAGCGTCAGTGCACAGAAAACCAGTCAGAATTGCCCTGATGAAGATGACAGACGGTCATCGAAACGTCGGCTCGTAAAAAAAATGGTTGTGATCAAATAACTTTGCTATCCATGTTACATTACCCTTTGTGTCCTCATCTCTCTGTTAATAGGGAAATACATTAAAGAATGTTTAAATTTTAGAGACTGCATGTTAAAGAATAGTTAAACATCTAATTTGCCATTGACATACATGTATCATGTTCTTTACGTAATCTGACACATACATATATCCTGTAAGTAGGATGACTTTATTCATACATGTATTTAGCTTTGTTCGATCTGAGTTGTAGATAATAGATCATACGAAAGTTCCTGTACTTTTGTCGAGTCAATAAAGAATATGTATCTGTCAAATAAAGACATCCAATACAATTTTATGGTTGCAAAACAAAAAAAAAGGATATTCTGGATGAGGAAATCTGTCTGATATTGACATTTACTGCTATTTCATAGCACATTTTCATCATCATTTCATACTTGGAGCGTTTCAAATAGCCCAGGAACAACCTACGTGAGTAGTCCCTTTATTTGTTGTTGTTGTTTTTTTTTGGGGGGGGGGGCGTAGTACCATCACTGAATAGAAAGAACTAGCCTGCGAGATGAAACAAGCAACCGTTTTTGATCAGTGATAACATATTTTGCGCCACAAGTATATTGTATGCCATGAGATAGGGTACATTCAACTTACTATACCAAAATATGACCAGAAATTTTACTTTCAAAATCCAGTTTTACTGCCTTTAACATACTAGAGATGGGTGGGCATCGAGAATGATTCGCATGTGGTTTAGGGAATCGCTTGTGAGTCTCTCCTCAATTCCACAGAAGAATGGCTAGCTAGGTCTGCCCAAGGTGGCATCAAATTGGTAAAGTACGGCGGGCGAAAAAAACAAATTAGTACCGTGTTCCTCGTCACTGGAGGTATGGACACTGCAACACTGCAGCTTAGGGTTGCAACAGGTGACGACTGCTATGGCGGTAAACTGTTGATCACATATTCAGCAAACGACCAATCAGGTCAATCAATCAATCAACCAATCAACAAGGAACCTACATGTAATGTAGCTAACATATTACGCCAGGCATCAACACTACAACGCTACAGTTTAGGGTTGCAACAGGCGACGACTGCCGATGCGGTACACTGTCAATCATAGTGAGCAAACGACCAATCAAATCAATCAACCAATCAATCAATCAACATGGAAGCTACAGGTGATGTACGTAGTTGCAACGACTGCTACTGGGATGCACTGTTTAAAATATTCAGCAAACGACCAATCAAATCAATCAACCAATCAATCAATCAACAAGGAAGCTACAGGTGATGTACGTAGTTGCAACGACTGCTACTGGGATACACTGTTTAAAATATTCAGCAAACGACCAATCAAAGCAATCAACCAATCAACCAGCTAACCCAATCAATCAATCAAAGAGAAGGCTACAAGTGTAGTTGAAAAATAATGTTATACTACGGTGGTCAATTCTGTAATATAGTACCGAGGTAAATTGATGGGTTTTTTTCGCTGTTTTAAATGATTGTCGTCGTATGATTCAAGCCACACCAATGCTGCCTGAAGTTCGGGAGAAGTCGGGACCAGATTTTGGCCACGCCTACCCTTCTATACTCATCGAATGGAATTTAAGTTAAATTTGAGTCGAATATCACTGCCAACCACCCGTCCACATCCAAAATGTTTTAAACATTTTTGAAACATTAGACTAGCGCAGCCAAACAGTTGCCAACCTACCCATGTCACCAATCTTGTGCCCTTGGGAGTGGCACTTTACATTTTTACACGACTTTCCTCACTTTACTCAGGTGGAAATGAGTACCTAGCTTCGGTTAGGGACGTCCCTCGGATAGGACGTTAAATGGAGGTCCCGTGTTTGGGGAGAGCCACACCCCACGCACGTTAAAAAACCCACCGCACTTATTTAAAAGAGTAGGGGACCTCCCGGTGTGAGTGGTTCAAACCTTACATTCCGGCAGCCTAAAGGCAGTTTAACGGTTATGCGAAACCAACAAACAATCAATCAAACAAACAAACAAACAAAACCTGGCCGAACACCAGCCGACCTTGCCACCAATCTACTCCTATTGAGGGGG